CGTATTGCGTTAATTAAGCAAGAAAATTGTTTCTTTATATATCAGTCTAGATATCCCTTATGCATAAGACAGAAGACCTTATTAAATAATTTCAGAGCTTTGACAGCTCAGGCACTGGTGGCTAGACTTTTAGCGGAAAATGTCCCTCTCTAAATCTGACCCTATAAGTGTGGAGTGATTGCCTTCCAAACTATCCACACACTTCCGAGTTCACCATACAGGGGACATGCTTGTTAGGGATATGATGGTTATTACAAGTGCCAGTAACCATGATTCACATGAAAGAACTTATCTCGGTATCATCATGCTTTAATTTCTCCTGCTGGGTTTACTATTTCTAAGTTGGTCAAAGGCTACCCAGCTCTATTCTCATTGGAAAGTGTTGCTTGACTACTGCATATTTGCTGTACTTAGAGAGCCCCTGAGAGATAGTGGCAGCCATATGGACTATTTTGGAAGCTGTGTTCATGGGGGGAAAAACGGGTGAGGAGTACTGGTTCTGAAGCTGAAGAATCTGGGTTTCCTTATTCACTGGTATTAGAGTGTAAATTCCAGTGAGGTCTGGAGTGATCCAAGGGAGCATGTGGATTGAAAAAGCCAAATGTAACATAGAATTTAGAAGAGCAAAATAGACATCAAGGTGAAGTGTGAGTAATGGGGGGGCTTGGGAGACAATTCTCTGTTGCTCTCTAGCATTTCTGAACATCTTAGGAGCAGACATAATGACTTTTATTCAATCCAGATATTTCTATAGTAAACAGTGTTAGAGATCAGACATAATGTCTCTTTCCAAAGCAAAGAACTGGTTTGTTTACAGTTTTGGAAAGCAGAGGTGGTGTTTCTCTCTGGAACTTAGGGCTGGGATGCATGATGTGGCTTTCCCAAGTTGATAGTTCCTCTTCTGTCATGCACTCTGTTTGTAGGTGCCATCTGACCCTTTTTAAGTTGCCCTGTGGGATTGGGGGTTGGGGAGCAATGCAAACAAGACGCTCAAACTCCTTGCTGTGCTTTGAATGCAAGTCCTTTGTCCTGACCCAGGAGCCTTCTATCTTCTACCGACATCCATGAAACTGTAGCAGAACAAAGTGTTAGCTTGAAAGTAGGGTAAAGTATTAGAAACTCCATAGTTCTTGACAAAATGTGGGGAAAAGATGCAGGATGTAAAAGAACTCTAGATGGGTAGGAGAGTAAATAGCCTGATAGTACCATGGCCATGTTATTCTAGCACCAGGGACACAGCCCTGACCATGACGGGCAGTTTCCCTCCTCTTTTACTGCATGCTTACTAAGGAGCAGAGACAAATATAAATAGGGTGAAAAAAAATGTCGCAAATTTCAGAATAGAAATGTTACAATAGGAGAGACAGAGAAGGACGGGGAAAGGGAGGCGAGAAAGAGGGAGGGAGGGAAAGATAGAACAGCAAGAGTAGAACACTGAGGCTTGAACAAGAAAAATAAAATCAGTGTGTGGCAGGAACACAGTGAGGGAGAGGAAATGTGATACTGGATGGATTAGCAATTTCTGTAGGAACCACATCACCTTGGAAATTATAGACTTCCGTAAGGAATCAGATGGGGCAGATGCTTTTTCTTTTCCATTATGAATTTATTTTGACTCACTTTCCTCCCTAATTTTTTAAAAAAACAAAAAGCTCATTGATACCATGAGTATTTGGAAAGTAAGGAATGTACTTGCACTGTGGATTGCATAATCTCTACAGCAGCCTTCCAATGTGCCAACTTACTCCTTCTCTTGACTAGATGTTGCTGGAAATTACCAAAACAGGTTTTCCCCTCCATTATCATCTGGCTTTTGGAACAAATTCAGGAGGAAATGCCTTCACCCAGAAACTTTTAGAGAACAGAATGATGCATCTAACAACTAGTATTGCTATTGCTAATAAAACACTAATACTTCCATTACTACTAAAATTAATGGTGTAAAGTTGAGAAGGCTAAGGAGAGGGAGGAAAAAGACAAGGGAGAAAACAGCAACTTATGGAGGGACTCAGGTACCAAGAATTGTGCTCAAAGCTTTACATTATTTTTCTTTTCTTTTTTTCATGAAGTACTAAAATTTAACTGTATATGAAAATATAGAAAACTCTGTCCATATCCTCAGGGTAAGGAAAGTTTTGACACAAACACACAAAAAAATGGAAAAGATTAAAAACTTCCACCAAGAGGGAGATTCTTCCACAAATAAAAATAGTAGATATTTCTAGAATTTACAAAGAAGGTATAATGCTCACCATCAGAATATATAAAGAATCTCTACAAGTCAGATTTTTTTTTCTAGCTTCTGAATTTTTAATTTACTTTCTTTTATTAAGGTAACATTGTTTTACAACACTGTATATGACTTAGGAGACTAGTTCCATACCTCTTCAGATGAATGTTATCACACCACCCCCACTGCAAATGATACCATGTACCATTGAGACCCTTCCCACTTTATTCTCTCCTCCCCCTTTTGAGTAGCTTCAGTTCTTCAGGCTTATTTCAAGGGTTTGTGTTGCTTTAGTTTTTTCAGTTCCTTGGTTCTGTTTCTCTATATTCCACATATGAATGAAATCATTTGGTATGTATTTTTTTTCCTTCTGACTTAATTCACTTAGTACAATCCCCTCCACTTCCATCCATGTTGTCATGAATGACAAGAGTTCACCTTTTCCTATAGGTGAGTAGCATTTCATCATATATAAAAAAGTACATCTTATGTATCCATTCATCTTTAGTTGGGTTGTTTCTATAGTTTGGCTATTATATATATTTTTATTTTTTTAAAGGATATCTTTTTTTTTTTTAAGATTTATTTATGTGCAGGACAGTGAGAGATTCACCAGAGACAGAATGGGGAACAGAACAGGCAGACTGACTGAAATACACGGCTGAGGGGAGCAGCGGGCATGACTGGAGAGGTCAGCCACGCCATGTGGGACCCTTGCTGGCTGTCCAGGATCAAACCAGCGCTGCAGAGGCTGCAGACAGCTTTGCAGCACAGCGCTCAACTGCCTGCACCACCAGGGGAGGCCCATTTTTTTTTTATATTTTTTAAAAGATTTATTTATGTATGCATACAAGAACTGGGGTGCAAGCCAGAGGTGTGGGGGGTGAGAGGATTCACCAGAGACAGAGTGTGGAGCAGAACAGGCAAATCTACTGAAATACACTGCTGAGAGGAGCAGCGGGAGAGACAGGAGAGGTCTTGCTGCGCCATGTGGGTTGCTCCCTGGCCACCGGGGGATCTAACTTGTGCTGCAGTGGCTGCCAATAGCTTGATAGGGCTGGCTTTAACCCTGTACCACCAGGAAGGCCCTAGTTTGGCTATTATAAATAGTGCTATAATGGACATAGGAATGCATATATTCCTCTGCATTAGTGTTTTTGCATTTTTTGGGTAACAGTGGAATTGAATTGTACATTAGATCCATTTTTAACATTTGTGAAGAATCTCCATACTGTTTTCTACAGGGGCTGGACAAATCAATATTCCCATCTATAGTGTACAAGGCTTCCATTTTCTCCACCCCTTTGCCAACATTTGTTTTAGGTACTTTTTTTAAACTTCAAAATTACTCTCCAAAATGCTCTGATGCTCCTTTCAGAGATAGAAATTCAGAGAGGACATTCTTTGAGATTTTCCAGAAACTTATGCCTATGGCAGGATTTGAACCTTGAAAGTAGTTGACTCCAGAGCCAGGATCTGTACAAAATATGCAGGGCATTTCCAAATGCAGCATCTTTTTACATTGCAGGTGTTCCTTCTCTTATAAAGCAAACAGCTTTGTCATCAGTGGATAGAAAATTGTAGTATCCTAGAGATTATTAGGTTCCATCATGGGACAAAATGATGGGTGGTTTTTATCTGCATTGTTTGAAAAGCCTGGCTGTATACAGCAGCTGAAATACAGCACCCAACATTTTCTCCAGTGGATGCCACAGCAGACAGCAGATGCGCAATGTCCACATAGTAAGGCAGGCAGAAGGGCCTAAATCGATCATCTAGCCTGAGAGGATAGCTGACCCATGCTTTATCCCAGCTGCTTATAGACTTTAGTCCTTAGGAAGAAAAACAATGCGTTTCGAGAAAATATCTCTAAAGAGGAAGGATTACAATTACCCTAGAGAAATTGCCTCATAAGTGCACACAGTCAAAGGGAAAGGACACATAAAATTATCTGAGCTAAAAAGATAGCTTTGGTTTACTAGAATAAGAGAACATCAATCCAAGGGGATCTGAAATTCATTAGCAATTAATGACATGTTACTACACATGTTTAAGAGATTGCCTAGACCAGTGTTTCCAAAACTGTGTTGCAAAGAATGCATGTTTCTAGAAATCTAATGTTCTATAAAATTAAGATTTCATAGTTTAAAAAACCTCTAGCAGAATTTATTTATCCATTGTTCTTTCTTAGTAACAGACCCTGTTTGCTTCTACTTGGGGAAGGTTTATATTCATTCAGTTGAAGAATCCATTGAAATGTCTTACTAGGGGGCCTCCCTGGTGGCACAGTGGGTTGAGCACAGGGCTGTGAAGCTGTCCACAGACTCTGTGGTGCCAGTTCGATTCCCACCCAGCTGGGGGAGATGGCGTGACAGGCCTCCCCTGTCTCTGATGGATTCTCTCACCCCCATGCCCCCCACCCCGTGCCTCTGGCCTGTACCCAGCGCTTGTATAAATAAGTAAATCTTTAAAAAGAAAAAAGAATGTCTTACTAGGAATCGTACTAAGAGAGAAGTTCGTTGTGTTGTTGCTTTTTTTTTTTTAACAGTTTACAAAGTGGACACTCATCCTTTTTACTTAGAGTTAATGTCAAGTCTATATAGTACAGTACCTACATTATCTCCTGGAGAGCAAAATTGATAAACATGATTTTAAATCTAGGACTCTTTTTCCAGGTTTGTTTCTTTTTCCATGTACTTTTCTCATCTGTGTTTCTTTCCCATACGAACATCCTCCACTTTTTCAATGTGATATGCTCTTTTCCATGCAGACCTGTGAATGAAGACTCAGAGCCCTCGGAGGCCAATGGTTCTGGCAGGTCTCATGGCATCTACGTGAACAGATGGTCTCCAACACCTTCTGAGTCAGCGAGCACCATTACAGCAATCATTTTACTTGGGGTACCCAGGTATTTAATCACCTTTTTTCCCTCAACAAGAAATTCTGTTTTTTTTTTTTAATGTGAAAATTTTTTTGAGATAACATTGGTTATATCATTGTTACTATTTTGGTAGCATCGGACCCCCCTTCAGGAATTCACCCACCACCAAAGCACCAAAGCACTAAAGCATAGTCCACCTCCATAGTCCACTGTTTAAGAAGTTCTTTAGAGAGGGCTTTAAGAAAGTTTGAAAGAATTCATTTTGCCATTTCCATGTTTTGGTTTTCTACTTGAGATTAATATGTGATGGCTGGAGTTTCAGTAGTTCATAATCTGGGAACATTGGATGTGTTTTAGGATAAAATACACAAAATTAGCATAGTAAAACCTACATATGAAACTTACTTGTGGCACTACCATTCCAGGCCAGTGTTGCTACTTCTGAACTCAATTTTGGCAAGAATATAAAAAAAAATTATAACCCTAATGCTAAGGTTCATTGTAGCTAGGTATCTACTACATACAAACAATGGATACAATTCCTGATACACCCTGTATATTCCACTCTCTATATTCTTACAGGTTTGTAAATACTTTGCTCATTAAAGATCCTGAAATCATTGTCATGAGTAATACATATATTTAGACATCAAACAACTATTAAGAAATTGCCATGTGCCAGACAATGTGCTAAAGGTGAGAATGTGGGAAAATAAGAGTGATTGACTCTGAGATCGTCATGGAAGTCTCCACTAAGAAACTGAGTGACATTTTGAGGATTGAATAGGTGTTTTTGGAATAGAGAGAGATGGAAATATAAGGCAGGTAGAAAACATAAATGAAAATAGAAATGTGGTGTTTCCTAAGAACTTCAGCATTTTTGAGAAAACTAGAGTTAAAAGTGAGTTCAGTCTTTTGGGGCTTATGTAGGCCTAGGGCAGAATCACACATTTGGAGAGGTAGTAAACAAAGGCCAAAACTGTTACAGACTTTTAATAGCAATTGCAGGAATTTCGAGCATTATACTCTAGAAAAATGGCACCAGTAGGCAGTTTTAGCGAGGAGACACCAAGATTGAAGTTGTGTTCTTGAATGATCTCTCTGGCATTGATGTGGAGGTTAAATAAGGGAGCCTGATATTGGAAAATGGGTGAGGTAGGCAGAAAAAAATAGATACCAACAAAGCCAAAACTGGAGTGTAATGGAATGATATCAGGCAGATATCAGAGAGCGCAAACCATTGCAGGAGCAACTTTGCCTGACTAGTAAAGCACCACTCGTATTTACTCAGGGGCCAACCAACATGATTTCCTTGATCCTAATCAACAGTTACAGGAGATGAATGCATACCATCTCTTATACCAATAGAAAGCCCTTGTTTACGGAAAATGAGCTAGATTTTTAACCCTTCCTATTCTCCGGTTTTAAAAAAATTACTGCTTTTTTAAGAGCACACACATACAGATACTTCTTTGATCAAATCTGATTCTCCTCCTAACTCCTAAGTTTCTCCATGCAGACCTCTCATGATCCCGGGATAAGAATAGTATGCTCATTGTTTCTTTTTTTTTTTTTTATTTTAAAGATTTATTATTTTTATAAAAGAACCCGGGTACAGGCCAGATGCACGGGAAGAGTGAGAAGATTCATTGGGAGACAGAGCAGGGAACAGAACAGGCAGACTGATGAAATACACTGCTGAGGGGAGCAGCGGGAGAGACAGGAGAGGTCTGCTTTGCCATGTGGGATTCTCGCCAGCTGGCCAGGATCGAACCCTCACTGCAGAGGCTGTGGACAGCTTCACAGTGCCAGCGCTCAACTGCCTATGCCACCAGGGAGGACGGCTCATTGTTTCTTATTAGGAGTTAAAATCCTTTCTATTTCTCCAGAACCCCAGAAACCAGGATCATCTTCACCAAGTGATACCATTTGCATTGTGCCATCAGTAACCACAGCCTCCACAAAAACCTGTGTAGTCTTAGTGTCAGAGGAAACCATTGTTTCCTTGGGAGATACAGACACCTTTAGAATTTCTTAGCATCTCTAAAATTAAATCAACAAAAATGCATATCCAACCTTGTGAGTTCCTGTACCAACATTTTACCACACACACCAAATTCTGAGATTCTCAGCTTTTGAACAATCCCACCTCTGAGGGACAGAGTGTTTACTTTGAAACCTTTTGCAAAGGGTATAAAATATTCTCAATGTTCATAGCCGAGGAGTTAAATTTTTATCATGGTCTCCCCTCTTCAGGTAAATTGTCTTTTTTTTGTTTTGAATGTGATTATTTTTTGCATCATTTATCTCTCAGTTTAAACTCTCATTACTTCTACCCTGCTGACTAGATTTTCTAGAAGAATTTGGTTCAGTGTTTGAAGAATTAGTATTTCAGTACATTCATACTGCTTCCCCCCACCATCTATATTCTACAGGTCCTGCTTCTGACTTATCCTTTAGGAACTGTTTTCCTCTCAAGCCCATGACATGCATCATCTCCTGTGAGAGAACATATCCAAGAACTAGTATGAACAGGGATTTTTGCCAGACAGCAGCACCCACCTCTATTGATTGCATTATGGCAGAGACTGAGGGACACAGATTGGAGGGGATAATTGTGTGATGGTATTGCAACAACCAGTGGGCTTAATAAAAAAAAAACAAAAACAAAACTGGAACACAATGATAGGTAACTTAGAAATGTATTACATCAAAGTAGCCTACTTACAAATATCTTATTTATTTTAATTTGAATCCTCCTTGTTTCCTAAGTGGCTAATGATACTCATATCTCTGTTTCAGTATCATTAGTCTATTAAAGTTTTACTGGTGCCCTAGGTCACAGACACAAAAGAAAAGGACATCATTGCACATGG